TGGAGATTATGTTATATACAGGGTGGGGAAAAAGTACCGGGACACCTGAATATCATAGAAAATATAAGTATTACAGAAAAGTGTTTTAGATAAAAGTTGTAGGGTTCCAAAAGATCTATTTACTGATCATATCCGTTTGACCTTGCGTAGCGTCTTCAAGGTCAGGTTACGGTCAGATCAATTTTTTGTAAATGGAACACCTTATTTTTCATTGCATATTCTTGTAGCATCTCGAGAGCTTTCGAAAACACTATAATAAAATATTTTTTCATGGAATACTTTTGGAGTTATAAGGCTTGAAAGTTATAGTACCGCCGGCATTAGCATTACGCAAGATGTCCCGACCGACGGCTAAAACCTCTTGAATGTCGTTCAAAATCATGTCCTGGATAACATTTGTTAAGATCAAAGTCACTGGAGATTGTTTCTTTTATTTTCATTTTTGCACTGAAAATTCATTTTTATGTAAAAATGAAAATAAGAGAAATAATCTTCATTGACCTTGATCTTGACAAATGTTATCCAGGACATGATCTTGAACAGCATTCAAGAGGTTTTAGCATTGACCTTGATCTTGACAAATGTTAGGGACATGATCTTGAACAGCATTCAAGAGGTTTTAGCCGTTTGTCGGACAATTTGCGTAATGCTGATGTCAACTGTACTGTAACTTTCGAGCCTTATAACTTCAAAAGTATTTCATGAAAAAATATTTTATTATAGTGTTTTGCTCTCGAGATGTGCTATAAGAATATACAATGAAAAATAGGTGTTCCATTTAAAAAAAATTGATCTGACCTTGACCTGACCTTGAAGACGCCACGCAAGGTCAAACGGATATGATCAGTAAATAGATCTTTTGGAACCCTACAACTTTTGTCTGAAACACTTTTCTGTAATACTTATATTTTCTATAATATTCAGGTATCCCGGTATATACAGGGTGATTTTTTTAACCTGAAACTTTCAAATATCTCGAAAAATAAGCACACTAAGAAAAAATGGTAAGAATCAATATTTCATCATTCCGAGGGTAACATACACTGACATTAAAATCAGCCCTCCCACCCCGCCCCCTGGGCGGTGAGGGGCAAATTTGAAATCTTAAATGGGAACCCCTATTTTTTATTGCATATTCGGAATCTTTGGCTAAAAGTACATACGATTTGTCTGAAACATTTTTCTCGATTCATGATAGATGGCGATGTAATCGACGAAATTCATTTCTTCGATTTCTTTTACTGAGAACCCATGCTTACGATTCTGCAATACATTAGTCCCGGTATATACAGGGTGATTTTTTTAACCTGAAACTTTCAAATATCTCGAAAAATAACCACACTAAGAAAAAATGTTAAGAATCAATATTTCATCATTCCGAGGGTAACATACACTGACGTTAGGGAACAACGACGTAGACATAGCAGTTTTCTGTTCCTTTTTTTTAAATTTTTTAAATATTCTTTATAAATATTTATCTGCAATAAATAGATATCTGCAATAAATCAGCCTAATTTAAAAAATTTAAAAAAGGGAAC